GCTTCGTGAACAATTGTATTAAACAAATGGAAGACGATAACCAAAATTCTTAAATAAATAATTTTGTAATTTCAGAACAGTAAAGCAGTATGTGATCAATGAAAAAGAATCAACTTTATGATTTAATACGTTTTATAAGCTTGATGAAATCGATTTTCTATCTGAATGTTAGAAATCGGTGTGCAATGTCCCTGCGCTTCCTTTACTGGATGTTTTCGGACTAACGCTTCCACCGCGCGATTCTTGACCCTCAGCAACCTTACCGGCATCAAAAGTGCTAAACCGTGACGAGCCCTGATCTCTCGAGGACCTTCTCGACGTCATAGCCACCAACGGAATCCCTGAGATGATTTTACCATCCGGATAGCTTCCATTTTCATTGGATGTTTCTTGCTGTTCAGCGTTCTGCTCGTATTGATCGATCAACGATTTAATTTTCTTCAAAGAATTCGAATCATAAGGATCCATTATCGGTATACCGACTTCGTTGAAGTCCCCTTTCTTCCGCATTTTATCGGAGCCGTCAACTTCGTCGTTCTTCGAACCATCCAATTGTTGATTCCTCCTGTTCAATCGTGGATCCTCATAGTTGTCCGGATTAGGAAACTCACGTTCGAAAATCGAGTCCCTCGAGGGCAGATCTTGATCGGTGTAAACGGGATCGTAGTGTATGCCCACGATGCGTTTTCTGGATCTCGGCTCAGCGCTGCTCAGATCGCTTTCTACGTCCGAATCGATGTCCAACGGTGCGTAATCTATGTTTGGATTCGAATTCGTCTTGCGTTCATCGTCACTAGTACCTAATTCATCCTCGGAATCTATGTTTCGAATCCTCGGCTTTCGAGTTTGCGACGATTTTGAATTCAACGAGGACTTGGAATTCGTTCGACGATCGCCAGGACCTATTGGACCGTACTTCAATGGTACGCTCTCGCTTTTATCTTCCTCTTCCTCCAGCGGATCCTCGTTCGGTGATGCAGTTTTCCTAAGTGACTCGTTCGTAACTTCTACTTGAACGGGAACCTCATCTAAGGAGAAGCATACGACAACATTGTTTTATTTCGATAAATACTATATGTATGCAAGTATTTAATTTTCTTCAAATCCTGGTTGAAATATTTTATAAATAGTTTCACTTACTGTCGAGGTTGACAACTTGCTCCGTTTGCTCTCTATCAGCAGCAGCACCAGCAGGATTTCTAATATATACCTGCAATTCAGTTGAAGTTTCCTGTTGCTTTTCAGCATATAAATTCATATCCTCGCAGAAGATCCAAACGAGAATTTTTAATATAACGGACAGGGCTAACAACGAACCCGTTGTGTAGTACAAATAATTGCCTAGATTTGTACCATTGTGAAGGCGACACAGTCCGCTCTCAGTTCCTGAATATTCGCACGTTAAATTTGCAATTACATCGTACAACACTTTCCCTGGCATATATACGATCAAGGATATGAACGTCATGGACAATCCTATACTAATGGCTTTATCCTGAGAGTTGACTGATCTCAAGATTACCATTACGTCCCCCACAAAAGTGGACGAAACCAATATATATACTAATAAAGTGGCAACCTGAAAAATAAATTATTCAGAATTTTAAAGAAAATGTCTTTTAAATAGAACTATTGTAGCTTCTTCTCTATTAGTTTTAACATTAATAAAAGAATATAAAAAAAATCAAGGTAATACTTCAAAAATTATCCAACTGGCATGACAATTTAAATTACAAGGTCCATCTATCGCCTCTGTTGAATTCGTCTTTTCTTTCACACAATCGCACTCGCTGTAAATGTTTACGCCATTTCTTTCTTCGAACATAGTACATCCCGCGTGGCAAGGACTATAAAACGTGTACTCGCTTTTTCTGTCGCAGACCGGACGAAAATCGGTATCGTCTGAGCAACCACAATCTTTGTTACAGTATTGTAACAACTCCAGACTGAAAACATGCGTATTAAAAAAATGTCATTACTTTGAATGTTATTATTTTATTGCGCGCATTACTTACGAAGTGTCAGATTCACTGACGATATTTTTTCTGTCACAGTCAGCGGCAACCAACGCGAAAATGATTCCGCATGCTAAGAGGACAACGACGATGCCATGAATGACGACACTTCTAGCTTCTGGCTTTGCCCTCGCGATTACTAAACCCGACATAATTATAATCAACCCGACTAAAATCGGTTTGAACATGTCTGGAATTAATTACTTAATTAAGATATGTATGTCTTAAATAAAGAAAATATGAAATAGCAGTTTAATTATATAATTGACACTTGGTACGATGATGTCTTACTTGCTATTAATCTCGATAAAGTTGGATCTTCAAAGCCCAGTAACATCCCAGTTGGTTTCGGTATATGATATCGCGATTGCGCTATGAGATTCTCAAATCCCATGAAATTTACGATGGCAGTTATGTACAGAGTGAAAGCCAGAATTTGGCAGATTAATGTTTTGTTAATCATCAGTCTACCCAGCGATGGGAAGAATTTAGGACTAGCGATTTTTCGCACGACTGGTCGAGGAGACAGATCGTATCTGTTAGCAATATTTAGCAACGAGGCAGCAGCTTGCTCGACAACCTGGCAAGAAACCAATAAATTCAACAATTTCATTCTCATACTTACCGATGATAAGAGATAATGTCAGTTTTTTAAATGTGAAAAGCGTGCGACCGGAAACGCACTATTAATTACCTCGGATGGTAGAATTCGAGGATACCAGGAGATTAATAAACCAGGAACTATAAGTAACAGACTAAAAATTGGAAAGCCTAACCACCACGCACCAATTTGTTCCCTGTAGGACTGAATAGGAGTAAACTTCTCTGCATCGATCCTGAATCAACATAAATTCTTGTAAATTATTGACTGCGTAATAATTGTTTTTATATTCTGTATACTACATGTATAAAATAAAATTATATACTGCTTACCCAAGGCAGACCCATGCCAGTATGAATCCCAAAAGGACACCGGTAATCTTCACGGCTATCAGTTCACTAATGAATACAGCCACGTTCTTTTTTTTCGTATTGTCATCTAAATAAGAGATACCTAACGCGTAATACACAACATTCGCCATACCGTTTATAAATTGTACGATAAAAATCACTGTCAACGTAAAATAGCAGGTCTCTTCTCCTTTCGAAACAATTCTCGACGAAGTTTCCAAACATATCTGCCGATTATCATCTACAAAGTAATTTTCAATATTTGCCCTCGTAACGTTTAATACTGCCGTGATTGACAGGAATAAAATTTATTTACCGGAGTATATTGACATGTGCGTGATATTTTTGGCTTCTTCAACGACCTTCGTCTGATGCGTTAAATGAGGAATTATCATAGTAAAATACGAGACACTTTGCAAAATGACAATGCCGCCAATCCACGCGGGTCTATGAATTCTGTCACCCCAATACGCAATGACTATTCCAAAAAGGACGGGTGAAATTTCTGACACTGCAAGTGCCCACTCTACAAATTTAAGGAAAATCTTTAATAAAACACTCGATTATATATATCATAAATTAATTTACTGTTCACTAGAAAATACTTCAGTTTTAATTTAAATGAACGTTCAAGAATGTAATCAAATAGTAGGTACGTGCCCATTGTGTAGGGGTCGAATTGGAACCTCCTCGATATCGTGGGTGTTGCGATGTAGAGATACGCGTAAGCAGCGGATTGAATGAATCCGACCCATGACAGTAGACCAACAAAAAGTCTGCGGGTCGCGAATTTGGCTAATTTCGGACATGGCAGTTGCCTGCAACCGCAATCAAGCGATTCGTGGGGTATCGGATTAGCCGGCCCAGCTAAACCACCCTCCACTTCCGATCGCATCACTTCGCTAAGACCTATGGCCATCCCCTGAAAATAAATCAAGTTCGACGAAATTATGATTCCTTGTATAACTTTTACGATCAATTTTAATGTAATTATTAATTTTACCAATATGTACTATCCTGAATTATTACTAATTAAAGATCAACGATATTCCTACTAACTGCAGTGTCCGTATTATATGTACCACTGCAACCATTAATTGCAGATATTGTAACCGCTTATTACACGTATCTAATACCTTACACCTTATGTGTCATGGTGAATCACTTGATGACGTTTATCAACGATTCATGAACTCTCTATTACTATCCTGTTCATCGAAACATCACACGCGTGACAGTTATTTGTCTATTAAGAAATAGAAGAGACACTACCCTTAACTATTTCGGCGAATCACAGTTTGATAATTTACTTACTTTTTCGAGGATTCAATCAATCGACACTTTTCTCTTTCACTCCACTATTAAGCACGCCGAGTACTGTATCGATGCAACCGCGAAAATCGATGAACAATCACATGATTGTTTCATAAATGGAATTCCGATCGTTCTATCGTCAATTGCACAATTGTGTTATTTCCACCGTTTCACGAAAAAAAAAATAATTACTATTAAAGAGGGACTCTTGACTAACGTAACACCCGAGAGGCGAGGCACGTATAGTCGACGAACCCACACACGTTATCTTATTACAGATATGCTACTCAGATATCTCCGATAAAGGTAGACTGTAATATACGCGTGTGCTACAATGGGAGTCGGTAATGCTCACACCTCGAATCGCACAAGAAAAATATTTACGGGACGTATTATGTGGTGATTATAAACTGAGCGATATTCTATAAGTCCAATATTTAATTAGACGAACCATTCGATGGGTACCGTAAGTGGAAGTCATTATTCGTATAGTTGTAGGGTTTATTGTGTGAGTTAAGAAGATACATTGAAATGCAATAGTCTATAGACGTATGTGTTTTGAGTCAGTAATAGCATATATAGATAATCTTTTTGTATTTATTTATGGTATCTTAGTTCTGCGATATTAGATGTGTGAGTTCATAGACTTGTTCATTATCCTATATTTAATCTTAAATCTTAAGTAATATTATTTTAAATAATGAGCAATGTAAAAAAATTGAACTGTTAATAAAAATTATAGATGACATCAAACTGTATTGTTACGTATTTAATTCTTGAATTATGACATTTCCAGTTTCGATTAATTCTTAGAATGAAAGATAACACTTATCAGTGTTCGACACCAGATTACTGTAGAGTCCAGGAATTAACTGAATTCCCGCAGTAAATCCCCATTATTAAAACCTTTCCAATCTCATTAAAATTATTTTATAAAATGTACAACGTTTTATATTTACTCAAGCTACATCCTAGAGAAAGGACCAATTTGATTTCGTTGTTTGAAATCTCGAGCACGAGTTAATGTCAAAGTGAAATCGTGTAATTTAAAAAATAACGCAGGCCAGAGTCGCTCGAGCTTGGCCAAGGTCTAACGCCACGGCAAAGGAGTTAGCACGCTTAAGCACACTTAAGTCGTTGCCATAAGAAAATGACGAATGCCAATTAGCATATGAAAAGCTTCCCCCGTTCGCCAGTTCGGTCGCTCAGGCCAACGCTCGATCGTTCCTCCCAGGGGGCTACCGCTTCCATTCCATCGGGAACGCTTGGCAGGGCGATCACGTTTTTGAATATTAAGGGCAGGATTACACCGAGGGCTTAACGCGCGAAATTTAGTCCGACGGAGCCAGAAACGAAAAGAAATCACCCTTAAGACCCACGGTCCCGTGGAGGCGCGGGGACGAGAATCGGAGGACCAGCTAGGAACGTATGACCTCTTCTTCAGCTTCTCGACCTCTTCTTCGTCACTCGAGGTTATGCATCATCGTTTTAGAAGGTGACACTTCGACATTGCTACTTAATGATAAATGAATCAGTTCCTGGGAAGAAAATCGATTAATCAGTTCAATAACGAGACGTGACAATAAAACTTGTTAAAAAGCACTCTAGATTTTCAATAGAAGTGTCAATACAAATCTTTCGTAAATTTATTTAATGTACAGTTTTACTAAATTCCTTCAGTGACATCAAATGTATAAAAATCGTCGAGATGGATGAACGTTTGAAAATATTAATAGTAAATAATTTGATACGTGTATACTTCGGGTTCTATAGATATAGATAGCCTAAACGGTAACAGTAGCGATAGGTGGGTATGCAATATGCGCGTGAATAACGATCGCGCAACGCCCGGGACAGGATACGCTATAACTAAAATATATAAATGTAGTTATACACGCGCGTATGTAAGTACACCTATAGATATCTCGCACAGTCAGGATGCCGGCTTTCCATTAGCAGAGTAAGTGACCACCGGTCGCATTTTCTTTGATGTCAGTTAATTTACTAATAACATCGTTCCGCGGGCTACTTCTCGTTCACCCTCTAAATATTTGTATCGCCAACATATCGACTTGTCCTCTTGTAATTAAGCTACATTATTATTTGAGTGAAAGCAGGCGGGAAAAAGGACCCGACCCGAGCCCGAGTTCCTCTTAAAATAAGCTTTTCATCAACTACGTCGTCAAACTGGAAAGCGGATCCCCCATTGGAGAATCTCTGGTTATAACAAGAAAGGAAAATCTGATTTATTAGTTAATACTCGATACAGGCGATTCAAATCGCAAAAAGGAAAGAACTTCTGAATGAATTTAGGATACCATCTTGAATGGAATAAGAATACCGTACGAAGGGAAACAGCTTCTCTTACAGACGTTCTTACGTGCATCTAACCGAGAACTTTTTGAAAGCATAATTTCGTCCGATTAGCGTAAGATAAAAAAAAAATTGGAAGAAAGAAAGAAAGGGCGCACCCGGAGGGTTGGAAGTCACGAACGCGGTTGCGTCTCGGGAAGAGGCGGGGGAGGAGTACGGCTAAAGGAGGGAGCGGCAGTTCGGCGATCTTAGCGGAGGATTACGTAGAATTAAATCCTGGACGGGGGCGTGCCCCCGTAACACTTAATTTTTCCCCCGATTTTTTAATCTCCCGGTAAATATCGTCTCGCTCGCTTTCCCCCGCCGCCGCTACCCCCCTTTCCTCAACTGGTCGGCCGCGTCTTACGCGCTCTCTCTTACCATCGTCAAAGGAGAACCCATTTAAAAACCTCATCAATGCTTAAGCCTCCGCGCTACCATAGGAACTAATCCCTCCTATTTTAACGCAGAACGGAGGTGAGAGAGAAAGGTACCGAAGATGTTCGAGGAAAAACGAGTGTGAGGGAGAGCAAGGGAATCGGTACGCGCTTTTAAAAGTAAGACTCCGCCTTTATTAGTAGATACAACAGTTTTATTTCCACCGAAAAAAGCAAAGGAAAGGATCCGCGGCCTGGCCCCCACGATCTCTTTCCCACCCGCTTTCTTCGCGTTCTTAAACTCGAACGACGCCCTCATCTCCGCGAAACGAGCTTACCCCGACGCTACGACCTTTTAGACACACCTAATTGGTGGTCTCTGTCAACCGCGCGCAAAACTGGTAACACGCCGCTTCTGATGCTTTAACGATCGCGTAATCGATATGCTATTGCTCTTTTTACTTGCCGCATCGAGGAAATGCTATTAAAGAGTGGCAATGCCCGTGTAATCGTTGAGATAGCGAATAGGGCCCAATGGGGCTAAAAATAATCGGTGATCGCTCTTTTCAGTGAAATCAGAAGGGAATTGCATAGGACCTTTCTTGTATCTGGCAAATGGAGCTACAGTTTCTGTATGAAACATTTTTCGCTTGGACGCGAAAGAAGCAGTGAGCGATAAGCAGTTATTTGCAATAAACAAAGATTTCCAAAAATCTGAAGGAATATCTCTTGACAAAATCTCGGAAAAATTTTTATACAGGAATTGTAGGCACTAAAGTCCTTTACAAGAAAGATTCTATGAATTTTTCTTCTAACTTCAATATTTAACGAGTTAAGTCCAGTTAATTGGCATTTTATTGGCATTGACAAAATCCGACCATTCCACCGTCGAAATGGCGAACTTTGGACAAAAAATTTTGTTTTTTGCCAATAACTCCTAAACCGTTGAACCTACGAGAAAATTGCATACAACCTTTTTTGTAGAGGACGACGAGATCTACAATTTCTATATAAAAGTTCTTCGCTAGCATCAACAGTTTACGAGTTATTGACGAAAAACGAAAAAGCAGTTTTTTGCAAATTACTCGTAAACTATTGACCCTAGCCAAAAAATTTTATACAGAAATTGTAGATCTCGTCGTCCTCTACAAAATGGTCATATAAATGTTTCCGTATCTCCAACGGTGTAGAAGTTATGGGCAAAAAACGAAAATTTCGCGAAATCTGAAGGGGTACCCCTTGGAAAATCTCGACAAAAATTGAAAAATTTTTTTTTTGTCAAAATTTCGAAAAATGCTTAAAATAAAAGTTGTAGGTACTGCTATTATCTACAAAAGAAGGTCATATACAAATTTTTTCTGTCTCGTATACTTTAGGAGTAATCGATTAATTTTTTCTCATTATGTTTCAACGAAAAATACAACAGTTGCCGACAGTAAAAAGGATTACAAACATCACAAGTAGGCTGCGAATTTTATACCATCCTTCATAGCCAATAAATATTGATATAGGACTTATATAGAAATTCACTTGTTCGTGTATCCGCACGTATTCACATATGTCGTTTTCGTTAACCGGTTTGCACACATTACATTACCTATTTCGAGTACATTTTCCACATTTCCCACGTACCCAATGTTATGTCAGCAAGCTGCACATATTTTAATAAAATTGATACTCTTTTTTCCACGTTGCATTGCATCCGGCGCGATAACTATTTTCTGATTTTAATATGAATTTGTCGAGAACATTTTTCATGAACCCCACGCGGACAGAACAAGCTCGCGTCGCGACTGTAATACGCTTTAAACTGTTAATAGAGTATCATAGAGGGTGTTTGGCTGCGGTTGAATCTCAAGTGTTGGGCTAACATTCA